CCCCGCGTATAATTAACAATTAGACCTTGAGGTCGAGTGGACTACGAGCTAATAGCCCATGAGGCCGAGTCCGCGAGGCCGAATGGGCTATTAGCTCGTAGTCCATGAGGCCGAGAGGTCTAATTGTTTTAGTATAAACATACAAATCGGTCAAATAATGAAAACAAATTGAAATATCCTTAAAATAATTTATTAATGAGATTGATTTTCCCGCGAGTGGTCTATCACAAATTAGACCATTAGTAGAGTATCCAATCACAGCGCAGTATGAGTGATAGACCATTAATATGTTTATACTAATGATCCATAGTGCGAGTAATTATACGACTATTAGCAGTCTCAAAAAACAATAACGCTATGCTTGCATTATCATACCTGCAGGTCAGAAATTAACTCAAGATTTATCGCAGAACAGCGTCTTCTATCCAGACTCCCATCAAATGCAACCGACACCCCTCGCCAAGTAGAATACAATAAGCTCTTCTATATATACGTCTATCTTGGAGTTGTCGTAGYAACGTTTCTGTTTTCAATTGCGAAGACGTTTCTGTTTTTCCATGTCAAAATCAACGCTTCAAAAAACCTGCACAATCAAATGTATGACGCAGTTATCAGAGCCTCGCAATACTTCTTCGATACCAATCCTCTTGGTGAGTGCCTTTTCCCAAAAAATATTTTTTTCATTACTATTAGTGACAAAACCTGTAAAATTACATGAATGCAGTCATGGTTGTTCTTAGGAATAATGTATTCATTTCACGCACATTGTTATTATTTTTTTTGTTCAGGTCGAATTATTAATCGATTCTCTAAAGACATTGGATACACGGACGACTTGATACCAGAAACGTTTTACGAATTTCTGCATGTAAGTGATTTTACTTCTTTTAAGATTAAAATTTTAAAATTCCCTTTCTTTCCACAAAGGATTTCTCTTCAGATTGCGGTCTGGTTTCCTTGCTTTACTAAAAAACTCACTGAAATTAAGCTACATGTGGGAAGCCTGTTTTGTTCGTGAATGAAGAAATTAAGTTAGCGCGTGTGATTCGAAATGGCAATAATAAGTTAACGTGATTCTTGATTTTGCGTGGYTCGTGAAATGAWCAAATATGTTCACGTTCAATTTACCAAGGGACCAGGGAACTCTGGTCTAGTCGGTATAGATATTGTAGTTATGAAGAGAACTTGGATGACCTCTCTGATAATAAGATTCACTGCCAGTTCTTTSTTTCAGCTCTTCATCGTGAGTATCGCTATAGTCATCGTTAATGTGGTTAGCATGCCGTGGATTTTGATTGGTCTTGCACCGTTAACCATTGTTTTTTGGTGTGCACGCAACTATTACCTTAAAACTGCACGAGAACTTAAACGTCTCGAGGCCATTGGTAAGTGAGGGCCCTACACGGCAACTTTCTATCTCGATTAATCTTCAATTGTTAGGGTCAAGACTCATTTTTTTAAAAATTGAAACAGTGAAAACGGTAAAAGTGTAAATCTCATTGCTTTTAAAAAGGCCCAGTGTGCACCATTATGCTTTTGGGGCTGTGAGGACCTGGCGGCGGCCATTTTCAGTTTACCGAAAGTCTACACTGAACAGTACTGTGGGTTTCGAATCCGCTCATATCTTGACCATCTCACTTTTCTAATCACTTGCAACGGTAAATAAGAGTTTTCAACCATCGGACATTCCTTTTATGGTGAGATTTGGACACTAGAAGTATTTTTTATCTAAATTCTTAACGATAACACAGGCGCGCAAAGCATAATGTTGCAAACTGGGCCTTTAACTACCGAAAATGATCATGTTGACAACAAAGTGACATAATAGAAAAGGTTCGTTACATTTTTTTTTATATACATTTCAGTCACTTGTTGAACTGCCCATATCTTGCTATGTCAAGTAATTATTTAAAATTTGAGCCTATCCCCAGATACGGATCTCTTTCTGTCTGTTTAAAAAAGGGCCGTRAACGAAATGTTCTGAATCAGTACTCGTGACACTAGTTTTTTTTCTAACCTGCTTTCCTCAGGTCGTAGTCCAGTCTTCATCCACTTCTCRTCAACTCTAGAGGGTATATCGACTATTCGGTCACTATCACTTCAAAATATTGTTACCAAGGAGCTGAGCACGTGTCAAGATCATCATACTGAGGCTTGGTTCCTGTTCCTCGGTGCGTCAAGATGGCTGGCCTATCGCCTGGAGTTTTTATGCTTTTTATTTGTCTCGATGGCTGCGTTTGCTCCACTGTTCATAGCAGAGAAACAAAGTAAGATGGCAAAGGGATGTTTTTTTAATCAACGATGAACATAAATCATGAATCGTTTTTATATATCATGACACGTAATTATAGAGCTTAACAATTGACTTACATACTTGTAAATGAGATTCAGTTTGGCAACAAATGCTCTTCCTCATAAGCTAACATGCTTTCAAATATGTGTTCACCAGGAGTGGACGGAGGGATCGTTGGTCTTGCCTTGACATATGCCCTTGTCTTGACCGGAATGTTTCAGTGGTGTGTTCGCATCAGTGCAGAGGTTGAAAACCAGGTATGTACAGATTATTCTGGAAATTTCTGAAGGAAATACTGTAAATATTGTACTGTAATGTTTGGGCTAGCCTTAAAAATAATAATAAAAAAAAAAATAAAAAAAATGCATGGCTGCTATGATTCTGAAAGCAACGCTTTATTCTGTAGATGACATCTGTTGAACGAATATTTGAGTATTGTGAGTTGGAGTCAGAAGGAAAATGGAAAGAATCTAACGAAGAGCTTCCATCGTCTTGGCCAGAACACGGCATTATAACAGCAGAACAGTTATCACTACAATATCACTCTACCCTCCCACGGGCGCTCAAAAACGTCTATTTTTGTATTAGAGCAAAGGAAAAGGTGAGGTGTCCTATTCCTAGATCCGAATCGCTAGCCAGTTTTTTTTTTTGTTTGTTTGTTTTTTTCACATCTTTATTTGCTTTTTAAACTTAATACARCATTTAACTCTACATTTTACGTGACATAATTTCTATCGACCGCTGGCGCTGAATTCGATTGCTTTGCTGTTTATGGACGCACAAACGGTTTGATGTAGACAATTCCGCACGATTTGTGGTCTTTACATTTCCTAACTAAGATTTTTATTAATCAGGTTGGTATCGTTGGACGCACTGGTGCTGGCAAGTCCTCACTAATGGCAGCCATATTACGAATTGCTGAACCTAAAGGTCGTCTTCTTATAGATGGGATAGACGTCACTGATATTGGTCTACATGACTTGCGCAGTAGAATATCTGTCATACCCCAGGTATCATACTAATTGTTTTTCATTTTCTTAATTGTTTGGTTGTTACTTATTTGTTGTGTGTGTTATTTTGGCTTTGTTTTTTTTGTTGGCTATAAGTCGTAACGGTTGTTGCTTTATCGTGATTAGGATCCAGTATTATTTGGTGGAACTCTACGACACAATCTTGATCCATTTAATGAGTATTCTGACAAGGACCTGTGGAATGCTTTAGACGAGGTATGCAGTTTTTATCAAGTAGATTTGCTATTTGTCAGTGCAGAAGTCATTGCCATTGTTTTGTTTCAGGTCCAGCTTAGAAATGATATCGGTGAACTTTCTGGAGGACTTGACACTGACGTCACTGAATCCGGTTCAAATTTTAGCGTTGGCCAGCGGCAACTAATTTGTTTAGCACGTGCATTGCTAAGACATAA